TATTAATCTAAAAGTCAGAAAGAAAAATGTGCTTAAATGTTTGGCATCCTAATGTCTTAGTAAAAATGTTTTATGGGTATTCATGTTTTAGTCATTGCTTTTCTAATTCTTAACTTAGAAAACAGAAGCTTTATTAACACTTTCTTTTACATCTAGACAGCATCAATTATGAAGGAATTAAGAGAAGGAAGCTTGTTGAATGAACATGTGTGTGCAGTAATAAAAAAATTTGGAACCCGAAACCTCCAGGCCATGTAAGTTCCTGCTCTTTGGGGGCAAGAAGGTAGGCTCTGTAGAATTGCCATTTTGCAATTCAGTTCACGTTCCTTTTCCTTAGTGTCAGCAGAGTGAGGGCTTTAATGAGAGAGATTGTGGTTAGAATCTGGACATCTTGGGGCTAGAGGGAGACCATATCACTCTGCCATATTACTTACTAAAGCCCCACTGGAATAAAACTTGGGGGAGAATTTTAAAGTTTATGTTGTCTGCCTCTTCTAGCTCCTTTTCAGTTCTTGTCTGCAGTCGAATTATACCTTATTAGATCGTGCTTTTCTAGCTTTCCTATAAAGTAGGTCAACCTTCATAGAGAGTCATTTCAAATTTGTAGCTTAACAAGAAATCATTCATGTTAATTGTGCTTCTAGATTCACTATAAGGTCCTTATGTCAAGCTCTGCTTCTCATTAAAATATTCCCTTGAGGCAATAATATAGAATCCAGTGTCAGGCTAAAAGAAACAACATAAGTAGTTTTAAGCACTCACTCTTAACAAGCTGGGAGTGATGGCACATGCCTTTAATCTAAGCACTCAGGAGACAGAGGCAGGCGGATCTCTGTGAGTTTGAGGCCAGCTTGGTCTACATAGTGAGTTCCAGGACATCTGAGGCTATAGGGAGACCCTGTCTCAGAAAGACATAAACTAAACAAACGACAAAAAGTATTTCCTTCATGATGAAATCTTTCTAGTATAGTGAAACATTCGAGCTCCAGTCAAAGCCTCCAATTGAAATGTTGGAGGTCTATCCAGCCAGACTTTGTTTGTTACACGGCATATTAAAAAGTACTATGCACAGTAGAGTCCAGAAATCCTTAACCATACAGTTTTTAGTTGTATAGTTACTTCCAAAGCCTGGCTAGAATTTTTTCCTGGAAAAGATCAGATTTATCCTTTAGCAACGTCCCAATTCTGCTAGAAATTTAATGATTGATTCATGTAATACTTTTAAAATCTATCTTAGGTGTAAGATAGAAATGAAGATATGGGGGCTGAAGAGATGGCTCAGCAGTTAAGAACACTGGTTTTTCTTGCAGAAGACCCGGGTTCGAATCCCAGCACCCACATGGCAGCTAACAACTATCTGTAACTCCAGTCCCAGGGGATCCGACAGCCTCTTCTGACCTCTGTGGGCATTGCACAATGTGGGTGCACTTACCTACATGCTAGCAATACATGCATATACATACAATAAAAATAATGAATAAAAAGAAAAAAATGAAGATATGATTCCAGTGAGTTTATAATGTATCTATCATTAAAGTCATATGCCTTTAAAAATCCATCATCAGTTGCAGGAACATGACCATTTGCTGGAAAGAGCAGAGCTGTCTCATACACATCCTTTCAGGTCTAATGGAATTGGCAGACAGGCAGAGCGTCTATTTTCCACTTCCCTTCTGGCTATGCTGGGTGCCTTGGCCTGGTAACTTGTCTTCAGTGTTGAATCTGTTCACTTTCTTCTTTCATGTTGGATTTGCATGTCTGCCTCCTCCTCGGATTCCCAGAAGCTTTTTTCCACCCCCTATCAAATGAAAAGCAAGTATCCTTCTCATGGAATTTTCCTCTCTTTCATCATTTACTCTTTTGTAATTCTTGTTTGTTTTTGAGACAGGGTCTGTCTGTAGCCCCAGCTGACCTAAAACTTGCTGTGTGGACCAGGCTGGCCTTGATCTCACAGAGATCCCTCTACCTCTGCAGGATTTAAAGGCATGTACCACCATGCTGGGCTTATGTGTGTTTTTAAAAATATATTTTGTTTATTATTTTTATTTTATATGTATGAGTGTATTGCCTGCATGTAGGTAAGTGCACTCGTGTCGTGCAATGCCTGCGGAGGACAGAAGAGGATGACAGATCCCCTGGAAGTGGAGTAATGAATAGTTGCTAGCTGCCACGTGGGTGGCTGGGATTCGAACCCAGGTCTTCTGCAAGAACAACCAGTGTTCTTAACCACTGAGCCATCTCTCCAGCCTCGAGGCTTATGTGTTTTTAAAATATTTCATTTATTATTTTTATTTTCTGTGTACGAGAGTATTGCCTGCATGTATGTAAGTGTACACATGTCATGCAATGCTGCAGAGGTCAGAAGAGGGCATCAGATTTCTCTGGAACCGTAGTTACAGATGGTTGTTAGCTGCCATGTGGGTGCTGAGATTCGAACCGGGGTCTTCCGCAGGAGCAGTCAGTGCCCTTAACCACTGAGTCATCTCTCCACAGGCTTATATTTTTGTAAAATTCCTTTTTTGTTGTTTTGAAACAACAAAAGCTGGTCTTGAACTCCTGATTCTCCTGCCTCTACTTTCTGATTGCTGGAATTACATAGCCTATGCCACCATGCTTGGTCTGTATTTTTGTTATAATGATCCCCAAAGCTGAACACCAGGGATGAACAGCAAAGACAGAACTCACCTTAATTATCAAGAAAGGCTTTAAGGAAAGATAGATTATTTCTAAATCACATAGAGCCAGGTCACAATTTGCAGGGCTTCTGCCTTAAAAGATGGAGAAAAAATTGCTGAGATTTAAGATATTTTTCCTTTCTTTTTAAAATATTTCAGTTCTTTTCCCAACTTTATAAATAAATGCATTTCACTCAGAGCAGCAAGATTGATTTTCAATCTTTCCTCCTCCCAGAACTATTACAAAGCTAAGTCAAAAGTTTTCCAAAGCAAATTTTACTGAAATCCGCAAGCTGGTCCTGGATGTGGCCCATATCCACGAGGAGTGCTGCAGAGGAAACGTGCTGGAGTGCCTGCAGGATGGGGTAGGACTTACTTCCTAAGGGGTCCTTCCGCTCCCTTGTCTTTATGTCTTGCTTTAAAAGAGAAGGTGGCCTGGCTTGACTTGATCACAATGTATGGTAATTAGGTGACCCAAGGAAGCTACAGTCTTTCTGATAGTAAAATTTAAGTCATGCTTTTTTATTTTGATTTTCAGTCCAGGGATTATCACCTCCCTGGCCCCTTTTGTGAGGCTGAGACATCCACTTCTTTATTTGACAAATATATATTGAGTCCTTCCTATCACCTGGCTTCACAACAAGGGATACTTGCTAAGAAAGCATTAAGTTGATGTGAAGGGATTTATCATTTGATGGGAGAGATAAGATAACAGCTCCTTGGACTTGGAGACTGTCTTTTGTTGGCTGTTGCCTCAGTGTTGACACTGAAGGCATTCTATTGTAGTTTTTTTTTTTTTGGTCTTTTTGAAGCAGGGTCTCCCTGTAAGCCCCAGCTGTCCTGGAACTCACTATGTAGACCAGGCTGGCCTTGAACTCACAGAGATCCTCCTGCCTCTGCCTCCCACGTGCTGGGACTACAGGCATGCGCCACCATGCCCGGCTCTATTGTAATTTTTAAAATGGATTAATACACTAAAAATAACACAAGACTCTATTCCATGAGGGAAAAGTCCATTCATGGTGGAGAGGGGTGACTAAAGGACTCTAGGAAAATTAATCCAAACTCTTAGTAACAGATTCCACAGCTGGTGGTGATGAAAGTGGTGTGGCTCTTTTGGGCTAATAATTACCTGGACTTCCCAGATAGGGTACAAGAGGTCTATGTAGACCAAATTACACCCCCCACCCTCCACCGCCCACTCCCCGCCCCGACACCTCGGAGGCTTAAAAATCACTGCCTTCTGAGGTTCAAGTGACTTGGAAATGGGGATGGAAAGGCTCATTTTAGCCCACTGCCATGGCGCTGGCAGAGGTAGGCAGAGAAGTCAGCAGGTGGCCGAGGCTGTGAGGAGACAGCTCAGAGTCTTCTAGTTCAGCAGGAATCCCGGCTGTGCGGAGTGGACGAACTGGAAGCACAGATTTTACAACTGTACTTACTTCTTTATGCGGTGGAATTTATTTGCATGTTAGGAAACATCAGCAAAAAAGTATTTTGTTTTTCTTTGAGGTCAGTTTCCATTGTCTGTAAATGACAGTTTATTGATTTTCACTGACATTTGAAAAGTTAGCTTTTAACTTTTGGAGCTCATAACCACTCTTTTTGATTTAAATTGGAAAAATTAATTTCAGTTCATTCATGAGGACTTCAAAAACAGAATAATAAGCTTCAACTGTTGTTGCTAAGAGTGCGCAGAATTTCAACTCCAGAGCGGAGATAAAATAAAGTTCCAGGACTTTGTACTACCAGTTCGTTGTTGTCTAGAGACTGCCCTCTGGAGGGCACAGTGGGTTTCTGCAGCTCTTCTGGTGAAAATGGAGCCTCAGGCTTGTTCTCCAGATTAACACCAGCTGCACATATTGCCTAGAGGAAACTGAATACTAATAGAAAGAAGCTGTTTGATTGGACTAGCACATGCTCTTCTTGTTTTGAAAGCTTTTTATTAAAATAGAAAGTGGGATTTAGATGACAGCTATGGAAAGAGGCCTTGGACAAATAGGTAACTGGAAAGCAGCGAGGAAAAACAAAAAACAAAAAAACAAAAAAACCCAACAAACAAAATGCAAGAGAGATGAGGCAAATGTGTTCATCACTGGCCCTTGATTTTCCTCTTCCTCCTTCCCTCACCCACTTTGCTCCTTCCTACCCTTCCTGTTCTGGCCCCGAGGTCCTACCTTAATGAATAAATCTTCGATGTTTTTTCTTTGTTTTTTCCATGACAGGAAAAGATTATGTCATACATATGTTCTCAACAAGATAGTCTGTCAAGCAAAATAGCAGAATGCTGCAAACTGCCCACAATAGAGCTTGGTTATTGCATAATTCATGCCGAAAATGATGACAAGCCTGAAGGTCTATCTCCAAATCTCAGCAGGTTTTTAGGAGATAGAAACTTTGGTCAGTTTTCTTCAGAGGAAAAAATCATGTTCATGGCAAGGTAATACTCTCAAATGTCTGTCCGCAGTGGTAAAGATCATTATGTAGCCAGCACCTTTGTCTTGTTGAAATAGGGAATGATGGCTATGCTGGTTGAGCGCATTATGTGAGGATGTTTGACTAGAATGCTGTGAGCCCAGGAGATGCAAGCACCCAGCCAGTGAATAGGGAATGAAATCTATCTTACAATAGTGAGACTTTCACAAGTACGATTGCTAGCTGGCTTGCTTATAAAGCTCTATTTTATTTTATATTAATTTCTCTGGGATGAGAAGTGTGGTCCTTCTGTGTGAGCTGCTATATGAAGGCCACCACTGAGCTCTCAAAAAGGATCTAGGTACTAGGTACTAGTGTAATAAGAAGGGTTAGGTGGCAAGATGCTCAGAGGGTAAAAGAGCTTGCCATGCAAACTGTTATCTGAGCTCAATCCCAGGAACCCACAGTGGAGGGAGAGAGCTAACTTCCCAAAGTTGTCCTTGACCTTGACATGCATGCTTTGGCACATGTGCCTCTTCCAGTAATAATAAATAGAATAAATTAAATCTAAGAAAGAGGAAGGGCTGATGATCATGAATGTACTCTTTTGCTATGTGCACTTTAAAAAAAGTTCCCCAAAATACAACTCAATAGATAGAGCTAGACAGGTCTTTTTACAGAAACATTGCAATTTATTGAATTTTTAAGAACATGAGAGCATGTTTAGAGATGCTTATAGAACAATAGTTTGTTGTAATATAATTGATAAGAGTATTTTCATTCTATCTGCCTTTAAGGGAAACAGTCAAGTTAATACATTTTCTGTTATTGTATCTGTCCATGGATGCTGTTAGAAGAGGGATTGTGCAGCTCTTAGGACATTATATTTAATGATCTCCAAGGGCCTTTTTAACTTTAAGAGTCTGATTCTAATGCAGTAATGAAAAAAAAGGCTGTTTTCTTTATAATATTCCCTGAAGATGTTAGTCTTTTGCTGCATTAAAATCAGGTATTCACACATTTTTTGCACTGCTAAATAAAATGGTGTAAACTAAAACAAAAACTAAATTTGAGAGACACATCGAGGCACTTTATTGGTGGTAGAAGTAAACACTTCCAACATCCATAACCCTGGGATATAATGAATTCAAGCATTATCAGTATGTTTATGTATGCATCCACGTCTAAAGCTAATTGTTTGAATCATAGAAATTCTTCAACACAAAGTTCTTTGCATTGGAAATTTCCTCATCTAAGAATGATCTTCCCTCAAGCCCTTGCTCTTTCTTCACTCAGATCTCTGCTCCTATTCAGTTATCCAAAGAGCTTTCTTGGCCACAGGCTGAATCAGTGGCCCCTCTACTCTGGGTGTCGTCTCTGCTCCTATCCTCCATCTTTCTTTACTTCTCTTCATTGATTTATCACTATCTGAGATAGAACACCTATTTAAGCTTGCTTCTGCTTTACTGTAATGCATGCTTTTGAGGGGAAAGGCATTTTCTTTTATGCCGCATTGGGTCTTCACTGCTTAAAGCAATTTTACACACAGTGCACATTTGTTGGATAAATGAATATAAACTCTACAATTGAAAAGTCAAAGTGATACACAAATGAAAACACCATTTTTGTTTCATTTTTTAAAATTTAAAATAATTTTATATACAGACAAGCATATATAATTTTAAATCTATGTTCCTAGATTTGAGAGAGAATATGCAGCATTTGAGTTTAGCTTTTTTGCTTAACGTAATGGTTCTAGTTCCGTCTGTTTTCCTGCAAATGTCATGACTTCATAAAAAGACATTTTACAGGACAATTTGAGTTTGTATTAATAGCGTTACCGTTCACAGAAATTATGTTTGGTTTCCTGCTTCATTTATCTATTTGATTTTTAATGTCTATATGCACCATTATATACAAATGCTTAGGGAATTAATGGTTTAGTTTTGTCTTAGTTCCAACAAAGTAATGTTTTTCCTACACATTTCAGCTATCTTCATGAATATTCAAGAAGACATCCTGAGCTTGCTGTCTCTGTAGTTCTAAGAATTGCTAAAACATACCTGGAGCAATTGGAGAAGTGTTCCCTGTCTGAAAACCCACTTGCTTGCCAGGACAATGAAGTAGGTTGCTCTAGAATTTTATGAGGAACTTGGGAAATAGATTTATATGTGCCCTTAAATATACTGTTTATGGGTTGGTGGGATGACTTGGGGGAAAAGGAGCTTGTTGTGCAGGCTTAGTGGGCTGAATTCAATTCGTGGAACCCATGTAAAAGGCAGAAGAGAACCAGCTCTACAAAGTTGTCCTTTGAACTCCCCATATGTGCTGCTGCATGTGCAAACCCCCCTCCTCAACAACAACAAAAGTTTTTAAAGTTTGTATAAAAGCATCTAGTTATTAACTAGTAATTAGCTAGATATACCTATGAACTAGTAATCTAGCTATTGAGTAGTTATTATTTATTAACAACCAATAGCTTACTTAAGAAATAAAAGTGTTAACCAAAAGTTCTGTGATATACAGAATACAAATATTCATTTTTGACAGCTCCAGAAAGGCACAATCTTGTATAGAAAGAATTATAATCCGTTTTCCAATGATTGAATTCTGCCACCAAATTATATGATTCACAAAATTTTAAACATAATCACTCAGAAGTTTATCTTAGTTCTCAAAATTCATACTTCATCACCTTTTAAAGTATTTTATTTATTATTTTTATTTTATGTGTATGAGTGTATTGCCTGCAATGCATATAAAAACACCTGTGTCCTGAAATGCCCATGGAGGTCAGAAGAGGGTATCAGATACCCTGGAACTGGAGTTACAGATGACTGTTAGCTGTCATGTGGGAGTTGGGAACTGAACCCAGGTCCTCTGCAAGAGCAGCTGGCTAGTGCTCTTAACTATTGAGCCATCTCTCCAGCCCCAACAGTGATATGAGTGTATTGCCTGCATGTATGTAAGTGCACCCATGTCATACAGTGTCCATAGAGGTCAGAAGGAGGCATCAGATTCCCCTGGAACTGGAGTTACAGACAGTTGTTAGCCACCATGTGGGTGCTGGGAATGGAACGCTGGGTCCTCTGCAAGAGCAGCCAGTGCTCTTAACAACTGAGCCATCTCTCTAGCTCCCCATCTTTGATGTTTTTTTTAAAAAAGCTTCTGGGCTGGGGAGATGGCTCAGTGGTTAAGAACACTGGCTGTTCTTGCAGAAGACCCGGGTTTGAATCCCAGCACCCACATGGCAGCTAACAACTGTCTGTAACTCCAGTTCCAGGGGATCCAACAGCCTCTTCTGACCTCCGCCGGCATTGCATGACACGGATGCACTTACCTACATGCAGGCAATACATGCATACACATAAAATAGAAATAATAAATAAAATATTTTTAAAAATAAAAAAGCTTATACAATTGATCTCATAATGCAATAAAACACTGGACAATTGCATATATAAAATTATGTTTTTAGGAGGAGAGAAAAATGCATGTCATAATGTTTGTATTTTCAGGAAGAATTGCAGAAACACATCCAAGAGAGCCAAGCACTGGCAAAACAAAGCTGTACCCTCTTCCAGAAATTAGGAGAATACTACTTACAAAACCAGTATGTATTTACAGTGTTATCAGTGACAAAATTACTATCAGGTGAGGGAATATGATTTAAATTCATGAGCCATTGCTACTCCCACTTCAATCCCTAACTGATTGGAAGTCACTATAAATTCTCCCAGAAGGTAGTCTTCCCCTTTTTAGAGAGCAGGAGAAATGGCCTGTGAAGTCTGATCAATTCATTCCCCAAACCTTGCAAATTTTTGCAGTAAAGGTATTCACTTCTGCCCACAGTTTGTCACAGGTACAGCACCATAAGATCACAGTTAAAATCAAGAAAACACTGAGGGTGGGAAGGGAAGCCAGTGTGCGGGGGGAGTCCACCTCCCACTGGAATGTGGGGAAGATGGGAGTAGAGAAGGACTGTGGGAGTAAACACTTCTCAGAAGATGGTCCACATCCCTTGTGTCTGCTGACACCCAAAGGAGGTCCTTGAGGAGGAGCAAGCGTCCAAAACCTTAAGAATGATATGGTGAAAAACACTTCTTTCAGGTTTCTCATTGCTTACACGAAGAAGGTCCCTCAACTGACCTCAGCTGAGCTGATAGACCTCACCAGGAAGATGGTGAACATAGCAGCCACGTGCTGTCAGCTCAATGAGGATAAATGGTCGGCCTGTGGTGAGGGAGCGGTGAGTGTCCTATCTCATTGCTGCTTTGTTTGACTTGAAGTAGCCTCCTGTTTCCATGTAGGAGAAATGGTAGAAACCAGTCTGGAGATGGCACAGTTTGGCATGTTCAAGGACTTCAGCTGGAGGTGGTGTGAGGACAGCTCTCAATGTTTGACTTGTGGCCAGGCTTCCTGTCCTGGAATCACTAGTGGAAGAGCAGCCAGTTTATCCAACAGCGTCTGAGCAAGTTTTATGTATAGGAAGTAGAATAGCCAACAGTTATTCAACTCCTTATGTCTTTGCCATTCTCTAAGTTCTTTACTATTAAAAAGAAAGGAAAGCTTCACCTCTGATAGATTACAATTATTCGTTTGATTTTAGCCGTACTTCAGTCTTCGCCTTTAGCAGTCCAATCTTATTAGTATAATGATATTTGGGGAAGTTTGTTCCTGTGGTAAAGAACAGGGTAAGGCCCGTGTTTTATTTAGTAAATCTCTGAGCTTTTTTTTTTTTTTTTTTTGAGATAGGGTCTCTCTGTAGCCCCAGCTGTCCTGGAACTCACTGTGTAGACCAGGCTGGCCTCGAACTCATAGAGATCTGCCTGCCTCTGCCTCCTGAATGCTGGGATTAAAGGCGTGCTACACTAGAAAGGAGACTTCTGCCATTAAGATTGAGCCTTTTTCATTTGCCATTTAAGAAAAAAAGTGTACCATTCTTGTGGGATGGCTGCCTTTAACTGGATAACTGGAGTAACCTACAGAGTATTAATCCAGTGATAGCAAGCACACAAAACATGCAAATACTAGTTAAAGTTTATGACTAGGTGTTTAAGAAGCTATCTTTGAAACATAGAAGACAGGAGGATTCTACATCAAGGTTGTACATGTATACACACACACACACACACACACACACACACACTTCTGTTATCCCTGTGTGTGTGCACGCACATATGCGCATGGCGCAAAAAAAAAAAAAAAGTCAAAGGTTCAGTTTGTGCTGTTTCAACCTTCAGAAAGTATTTTACTATGTAAGAAGCAAAATTCAGGGACTGGAGAGATGATTCAGTGGTTGAATGTACATTGTTCTTGCAGAGTACTAGAGATCAATTCAGAGCACCTACATCAGAAGCTCACAGCAACTTGTAATTTCCGCTCCAGGAGGATCTGATGCTTCTGGCCACTATGGGCACTTATACTCACATGCACATAGCCACATTCAGGCATATACACGTCACTAAGAATAAATAAATTTTTTTAAAAGGCAAAATTCAACTAGATATATACAGAAAACAAACTACTAGTTTGTTTGTATGTATTAGGGCAGAGACGTTTTTCCTTTTTGGAAGTCTGCATGTAACTAGACGCATACTTCAAATAACTGGCACAGATATTTGAGGGGTTTTCTTCAACATCACATGTGTAGCATCTGTCACTACAGATATATTAAGATTATCCCAAACAAATGAGTAAACACTGAAGTCCATATTATGTCATAATAATGGCAATGGTACTAGACAGCAAATTTTCCTGATATTAACCATAAGTTGCTGGACATTAGGAATGATTGCATGAGCTTTCTGGAAATATGAACTAACTTAGTGGCTAACCCCATTTCCCAACTTATTCTTTCTCATTCTCCTCACCAGGCTGACCTTTTCATTGGACACTTGTGTATCAGACAGGAAGCAAACCCTGTGAACCCTGGTATCAGCCACTGCTGCAACTCCTCCTATTCCAACAGGAGGCCATGCATCACTAGCATAGTGAGGGACGAAACATATGTCCCTCCACCATTCTCTGATGACAAATTCGTCTTCCACAAGGACCTGTGCCAAGCTCAGGGCAGAGCACTGCAAACAATGAAACAAGAGTAAGAAATTGTTTCATTTTACTATGGAGACACAGACACCACCAGGGAGGACCTGAGACTCCAACCTTACGTGTTCAGAACTCCTGGGTTTACTAAAACATTACTGTTCCCAAAGCACTTAAGGTGTCTTTCAGAACTAGCTCTGTTCCAGGGTTGTTTTTTTTTTACAGCCTTGTAGGGAAGTAGGCCTGGAAAAATCCACCAAGGTAGACAATTTTCTGTTTATGAAAACTGTCTCTGTTGTAGCTAGTGTGATGGATTTGTGGGTTGAGGGAAAATGGACACTCTATTTTGGAAGATTTGAATGTATCCTTGCAGTGAGTCTTGCTACTTCCATTCCAAGTATAGGAAACACATAATTGTATCTATAAGGAGAACAATCATATTGGACTCAACTATGTAGTATGGCTGTTAAAAAATGAAGTGCATGTTTTATTTCATGATAAGAGCCATTCTGTAATGGTGATGGGAGTATAGTCAATAGAACTTGTGTTCTTCAAACAGCCATCTATGCATTTTCATTTTAATTTAATATTTATTGGCTTTGTAAATGGACTTTAGTGGAAGACCATTTCTTTCTTTTAATTTCATCCCAGTTTGAGACATGTTTCAAGAAGTAATACAAATAGTGCCTCCTCTGGAAAACCTTCGTTATTGCCTTGTCAACAGTTAACTCCAACTCATCGATGAGTAGGAGCCAGTGCTCCTCAGGTAAAGGTGTGGTAATGGTGGTGTCAGCATCTGGACATTGACCTGTGAACTTGGATAAACCACATCATAGAAGAGGGAGCAGGAAAGGTTAACATAGGAAGCTATGACAATGACCACGCTTCACTCCAAGAAGCATGCAGAATCATGAAACAGTATTTCACCTGTACTCTGCAGCAGGGCAGGCCACGGCTTGCATGTTTCCAGCCTCAGTCTTTCTGGGGCTCTCTGGCTGGTGATGAGTGGGAGGAGTGATGAGTCAGGGACGGTGGCCCAGGCTTTGCGAAGTTTCTACTAGGAAAGTTTTAAAAAATGCCATTGAGTAGCAGGTTTTCTTGTATTTTATTTTGTGTTAAACCATAGGCTTCTTATCAATCTGGTGAAGCAAAAGCCACAAATGACGGAAGAGGAGCATGAGGCTGTCACTGTCGATTTCTCTGGCCTTTTGGAGAAGTGCTGCCAAGGCCAGGAGCAGGAAGCCTGCTTTGCAAAAGAGGTATGTGTGGCAGGTTCATCCCCACAGTCTTGGTATGGAGCGTTCTGTGTGAAGAATGGGAAGGATAGCCTACATATCTGTGTCTTTAAAACAGTGACAAGTTCAAATTTCATTGGAAATATTATGATTTAAAAATAGTATTTTATCCCTAAATATTAGGGAGAGTTATAATTTTGAAAATATCTTAGGAGAATTAGTAATTATGATTTATTTCCTGGTAGAGAAAATGATTAAATGTATAAGTAATAACTGATGATAATTTGGACTGTTTCTCATGTAAAATTGATCAATTTCATAAAATGAATGAAAAGGATTTCATAGTCTATTAATTATGTAGCCAAGATATTAGGAGACTATTATAGGAAAGGCTCTTGAATTTGTTTTGGAGCATGCCTTTGAATACCAACAGAGTAGAAATAAAGAATTATGTGAGTCCCTTTACTAATAATTTTAGCTGGATTTTACTTTTTTTTAAACTTGATAATTACACATAACATTTTAAAATTATTTTTCTACCTTTATTGAGGTAAAAGCTGCATGTATTTAAGGTGTACAGTGTGTTTTGATATATGTATATGCTATGAACTAATTGTTACAATCAAGCAAATAGGCTGTTTTGTAAATCTTTAGTTTATATTACTAAATCCATTTGAATCTAGCATCATTGTATTTTTTTACAGACAGCTCATTTATAAGTCACAAAAACATATTTTTTTAGGGTCACAACGAACACATTTATTGGGATTTGAAATTTTTACTTTGCTGGGTTATATAAGGCCATTTTCATGCTGGAATGGAATGTACTTGGAACATATTCTTCTCACACTCTGCTCCCTTCTCCTTTCTTTCCTCTCCCCCTCTTATTAATTCCCTTCGTTCTCCTAGACAGCTTGGGGCCTACCTACATGTCATCTGGAAGCATCACTGTATTTTTGTAATAGTTTACATTCTTATTTTTTTTTGACAGTTTTATCTCACTATGCAATAATGTTGACGTTTGGATGTTTTGTTACATACAAACACTAAAATCAGATATTAATAGAAATGTTGAGTAGTGTAGGGTTTATTGTAAATAATATAATTAGATGTGCTTGAGTATGCGGACTTGATAGTACATCTGTGTTTTTGGAGGGGTGAGAGCAAGACACAGTCACGCAGATAAACACAGCTGATGAGATTGATGAATAAACCATTTGTGATAAGTATGAAAATGCTTAACATTTTCTGAATTGAGAAGTGACTGAGATGTGGAGAATGCTATCAAGTAGCAGCACTGCTTTTTCTAAAAAACTTCTTTCTAAGGATTTGTACTTTGTGGAGAAGGGGGAAAGGACAGGCAAGGTGTTGATGATCAGGATAGACAGGCATCTCCTGCTGCTTTATGTGGCCTCTACTGCCCCAGCTGGCATCAGAAGTGCGTTTCTTCAATGTCTTTGTCTTTAACTTGTTTAATCTACAATCCAGTGAGTTCACTCAACATTGTAGAGGGTTAACACCACACTGTAGAGGGTCAACTCCACACTGTAGAGGGTTAACTTCACACTGTAGAAGGTTAACTGCACACTGCAGAGGGTCAATTCCACACTGTAGAGGGTTAACTCCACACTGTAGAAGGTTAATTCCACACTGTAAAGGGTTAACTCTACACTGTAGAGGGTCAACTCCACACTGTAGAGGGTCAACTCCATACCATAGAGGGTTAACTCTACACTGTAGAGGGTCAACTCCACACTGTAGAGGGTCAACTCCATACCGTAGAGGGTTAACTCCACACTATAGAGGGTCAACTCTACACTGTAGAAGGTTAACTACACATTGTAGATGATTAACTCCACACTGTAGAGGGTCAACTCCACACTGTAGAGGGTTAACTCTACAATCACAGGCACAATCATCCATTCCTTTATCTGAGTATCTTTCTGTTCATGACTTTCAGGGTCCAAAACTGGTTTCAAGAACTCGTGCTGCTTTGGGAGTTTAACTTCCTTCAGGTAAACAAATTTCAGCAAAGGCTAAATATAATGTTATAATGTTGATTCTCCCTAAATATCAATCCATAGTATCAGGATTCTATTAATTTTATTAATAAATGTAATCTAGTAAAACAGGCTTATTTTTTAAATATTGAAAACATTTTAGGGGACTTTAATGACAACAGAGAATGCCTTCCTAGATACCTTGCATTTTGATGATGCAGAATAGTGGACCCTGTTACCTTCTGTATGTATTCACTTAATAATACCTAACATAAGCTTGTGTTTATGTTGCAGAGGGAGGAGAAGAAGAGAAAATGAGCAGATGGTTTGGTGTGAAGTTTTTTGTTTAATTATAACTGACAATGCTTTAAGAACGTGATGCAGACTTGCATGTGAGATTTTTCTATCACAGAAATAAAGTGTTTTCAACTGTTTCTGTTTTCCTGGTCTGCTTATTTATGAAAACATAATTTGTTTAAAAAATTTAATTTTATTTTTTGTATATGAGTGTTTGCCTACATGAATGTAAATGCATCCATGCATGCAATACCAGCAGAGGACAGAAGATACATCAGATCTTCTGGAACTGGAGCTCTAGATGGTTGTTAGCTGCCATATGGGTGTTGGAAACAGACTGAGCTATCTTAACTGCTGAGTCATCTCTTCAGCCCTGAAAACAACTTCTTTAGAGTCTTACATGCCATTGCTAGAAACAGATTCTATTAAAATGTGAGTAATGGTTACTGTAGGAAATGAAGGCCTTCCACATCTGCATTTACCACCCTGAGGGCTGGATGCCTTTGTGATCTGAGAAAAATGTTCCTAGGATGAGCACTGATGAATGCTACTGAGTCACATTGCTCCTTATATGACTACTTAAGTGTACTCAGAAAGCATCTAATACATAATGAGAAATAAAATTGTTGCATTTTCATAGGAGCTGTGAAAATTCAGCATCTTTTTTCTTAATCTTATTCAGTTCTCGATTCAGAACATTTAAAAACATATGTTAACTGTACCGTGTAGTTAGTTGCTTTGATCAAATGTAATTGATATTTTTCAACTTTAAGTCTCTACGTGGGCATTCAGTGGCCGGCAGGCCCGGATCCCCAGTTGCTTTGGTAGAGTGGGAAAAAACAGCAATGCAAAAAGTCATGACCATAATGGAGGTGATAGCGAATTGTGAGAGAACCAAAGGGAGCTGAGACTAGTGTGATGGGGAAATTGCTTGACATGAACTGGGCACGGCAGGGCATACTTGAAGTCCCAGCACTCAGGAGGCAGAGGCAGGAGGATCTTCGATTTTAGGTCAGCCTGGGCAGTACAATGACTTCCTATCTACCAACAATAGGCATAGAAATAAAAACAATGAAAAAGGAAATCTTAGCGATTCTGTTGCAGACTTGATCAAGCAGAAGAAAACCCCAGTGAGTGGGAAGATACAGCTTTTAAATAATTATTCAGAGGAAAAAAATGAAAAAGAGTAAAGAAAGCTTGTGGGAGGGCAGCACACTCCAGTACATACCTTTAATACCAGCACTTGGGGGACTGAGGCAGGAAGATAGTGAGTTTGAAAGAACAGCCTGGACAGTAAGAACCTGTCTCAAAAAAAAAAAAAAAAAAAAAAAATTAAAAGTATCAGAGTGATCGAATACTATTAAAACTAACACTTGCACAATGGAACTTAAGATTTTAAATCTTAAGAAGATAAGAAAGGGAAGAAACAGAAAAAATGGTCTCAAAGTATATTGAAAAAAAACTAATGGTTAAATTTTTCCCAAAGCTGGGGAACAATGGAGCACAGGAAGGTTTGACGTTTCCAATACAATTCAGCACCAAGAGGAATCTATATTATAGCCAGACTATCAAAAATCAAAGGCGATTCAACAAGAACTAAAAAGCACATTACACTCAAGGGAGCTCAAACAAGCTATCAGTGGATTTCTCAGGAGAGGCTTTCGAGGTCGGGAAACATAAAATAGGATAATAGAAAGAGTGCTAAGTGATAAAATTACCAAGCAAGAGTACTTTAGAAGAGCTGTCCTTCAGACATGAGAAAGAAAGATTTTCTCAGACAAGCAAAAGCTATGGGAGTTCATCACTATCTGACGCTGAAGGGAGTTCTTGAAGCTCAAAGAAAATAATGCTAATTAGTAACCTGAAAAAATACAAACGTATATCTAGCTGGTAGAAGCAAGAAGACAGTCATGTTTTGTAACCCTCATGGTAATCACAAAGCCAGAATCTTTGGTATAATCACAGAAGATAAAAAGGAAAGTCTGAAGGCAAATACCTCAGAAAACCATTAAACTACAAGCAAAGATAAGCAGATAAAGAGGAACTGCTCACAAAGCAACCAGAAAACAACGGAAACAATTGTGGTATTATCTCTGTATCTTCCAATAACTACCTTGAATATAAATGGATTGAATTCAATCTAAAAATATAGACTGGTTGGCTGGATTTAAAATGAAAGTCAACTATATGCTGTTTGCATGAGACTCACTTCACTCCTAAGGGCATACACAGACTTAAAAGGAAGGGAAGAAAAAAGATGCTCCATGCAAATGAAAACCATACAGAGCAGGGGTAGCAAAGCTTGGGCAAAAACAAGACAAAGTAATTACATAACAATGAAAGATCGAGCCTTCAAGAAGCATTGCGTTACCCTTTCCTGGGGAGAAATGAATACATGGCTATTTACCCCAGAGAGAGCACCGATGACACACCAAAGTAGGGATTCCTCCAAAGTCCAATTTGATGAACCAGGGAGTTTAATGTGTTTAGTTACAGAGTACAGGCAAGGGCTTACTTGTAGGAGCATTGACGCCCCCTAACAGCTGTATCACCCCAAGTCTCACTTTTGTGGACAATGACCTCACAGAAGCTGCACCATGGAGCCCCCTTTCAGTTATCCTTCCACTTCCTACAAACTCCAGCATCTCCTAGGATCACGTGCAGTTGAGGCCAGAAGCCCAGGAAAGAGTCCTGCTAGGCTCCCTTCCTTCTTTTATTAAGGAGTGTTAAAAGCACCATTATCATTGTCATAGACCTAGTCATTTCTGTATTGCTTTGTTATTTCATTACCTTGGCTACCTGACCAAAGTATTGTCTACTTCAAAATGGTGATAGGAGGAATATGTGATAGCCAGAGGAAAAGGCTGAATCATAGCAGGAAGATCTACAACTTATCAATAATATGTACCCAAATTGGAGCACTTAAGTATACAGAGAAAACTAATGGATCTGAGAGGTGAGATAGGCTGCAATGCATCAATGGAGGGAGGCTTCAATTCCCACTTTCAGTCGTACACAGATCATCGAGACAGAATATAAGCATGGGCATTTTGGACTTAAATTACACTTTAAACCAAAAGAACCTAACAGACTCACACAGAGCATTCTATTTAACAACAACAGAATAGATATTATGTTGGATGGCCATAAGGTTGAATTCTACCATATAGTTAAAGAACTAATACCAATAATTCTTGAACTTTTCCACAATGTTCAGAGTGAGCATTTCTGTAATTGTGGAGAACTGGAATATTATAGGCCCAGAACAAAATTGTTTTGGACTATCTTTAGCTCCCTTAATAGCTACTCATTACTCACCTCTGTATTGGACTTAACATCCTTGGGATTATCAGGCAAAATCCTTTCTGGAATGTACTAGCTGACCCCTAGCCTCCATCCATTCAAAAGCTAGGGATTTCATTAGATAATATTTGAGGATTAATTACAGACACTTCCCCATTTCATTATGACCTTCCTACTTGATATTCCCACCAATGAATCATAAAAAAAATTAAAAACCTTGACATGATTTTCTTTCTTCTTTTACCTTGGTAACTTCATAAAGCTGTTACTATGCTCAAATATGGTATTTGAAGTAACTTAATCTGTACTTCTGTGCTACTGTCACACATATTTGGGTCCAAACTCATTTTATAATGACATTAACCTGATACCAAAGTCAGAGAAAGACATTACCAGAAAAAATTATAGTCTGATAATCCTATGGAAAATATCCCCAATAAAGAATAATGTTTCTCAGTAAATTGATTTTAACAGCACATCAAAAAGATCATTCTCTCTCTTTCCCTCTCTCATCCTCTTTCTCTCTCTCCCTCTCTCCCTTTCCCTCTTTCTCTCTCTCTCTCTCATACACACACACAAATATTACACATAACACATATCAGGTGGGGTTTGCCTTTGAGAAGAAGAATACTTCAACATAAGTAAAGTAAAAAACATGATTCAACACATTATAGAATAAAGGATGGAACCCATATGGTTTTGACAAAATTAAACACCCATTTATGATCCCTTTCAAGAGGTTAACTATGGAAGGAACTCACACAGTGATGGCCGTATGTGACAAGCCCACAGATAATTATGTACTGAAAAAGATTTCTTTTTTTTTTCATCATCAAACTATTTATTTAGTATATTACTACTAGGCAATGGCTTTTCCTACTTTTTAGACTTTTCTGAGTACATTTTGTGGGACATAAAAATGCAATGCAACGAATTCACTACATTTATTCCCATTGAATAGAAGGTTTCTTGCTCATTGGCTTAGTAGGTCTACAGCAATTCTCTATGAAAAAGATTTCTACGAGTAGAATCTCATCTTAATATAGATTTCCAGAACTTGACTGAACGGTACAAATGGCATGAATATTTTTAAGGTCACCAGTCCTCATTCAAAAACTCATTTTTCAAAAGCATTGATTATATGAGTAGTTGCTTTGCTGTATATTTTTAGAATTTGATGTTTTCTTTGTTCTAATCCCATCAGATCTAGAGAACTTATTATTTTAAGCCCAAATTTCTTTGATTACAAGTGAAATGTAATGTTGTGTATGTGTGTGTGTGTGTGTGTGTGTGTGTGTGTGTGTGTGTGTGTGTTTGCATGTGAGGGCCAGAGGATAATCTCAGGTGCTGGTCCTCAAGCACTGGCCATCTATTGTTGTTGTGTTTCTTTTTATTTTTTTAAATGAGATGGAAGCTCTGACTGGCTTGGAACACACCATATATGGTAAACAGATTGGTCAGTGAGTCCTAGGGACCTTCCAGTCCCACCTCCGCAGCACTGAGATTTCAGGTGTGCATTACCACAACCAGCATCTACATGAGTTCTGGAATCTGAACTCAGGTCCTCATTCTTGCGAGGCAAGCACTTTACTGACTGAGATGAGATGTCTAGCTAGTCCACAAAACTTCATGTCTTTAAGATGCAGTTCCTCTTTGGTAGATTATTTAGTTGTTTCTTCCTTTAACATTTGTAGAATTTCATGAGTTTGGGGGGGTTGTTTATTTGATTAGGTATTGTGCTTACTTACTTAGCCTGCGGACCTTTTTCTGCAACTCAAGAGATTTTTTTTTTTCCAGTGAAGCACATAAGTAATTTTTTCTAGTTAATAATTAG